AAGTACCAAACTATTTTTTAAAATGGCTCTACTATTTTACATTTCTATCTGGAATGCAGGAACGTTTTCATTGCTTTGCATCACCATCTACCCTTGGTTTGATCAGTTTCTTTGATTTTAGCCTTTTAATAGGTATAGAGTAATATCTCATTGTGGTTTAAACTTACATTTTTCTATTGACTAACAATATTGAGCATTTTTTCACAAACGTAATTGACACCACATATCTTCTTTAATGAAGTGTCTGATAAAATTTTTTTTGTATACTAGACACAGTACTTAATCATATACATGTTTTGCAAGTACCAGTGGTACCATAGTACTTGTCGTTAATTCATTTCACAATTTCTGGTTTATAGTTTTTTATGAGTAGTTTACTGTAATTTTTAAATCTTAGTTCTTTTTATGTAAATTGTATTTTAAAATATGAAATATCCAATTTAAAAAATTATTCTGATTGGTGATTCTTGGGCCTGTCAAGCTAGATAATTTTTGTTGTAGAAAATTTTTAGGTATTATTTCTTCAAATATTTCTTCTACCCCATTCTCTCCTATCTCCTCCTGGAATTATAGTTATATATATGTTAGATCATTTGATATTATTCCAGAGCTCTTAGATGCTCTGGAATAATATCAAATTTCTTTTCTTTTTTCCTTTCCTCTTTTTGTCTTTGTGTTTTTGCTCAGCTTGTTTCTGTTGATCTAGAGTTCACTAATTACTCACCTGTGTCAGGTGTATTGGTGGGTGTATTGGAGACACTTATTTCTGTTACTGTGCTTTAGCATTTCCTTTGGACTCATTACTGTGGTTTTCATCTCTCTATTGAAATGTCCCATTTGTTTGTGCATTTTGTCCTCATTTCCCACTAGAGGCCTTAACATATTAATCTTAGTTTAAGTTCACTAATTTCAAACTCTGGTCATTCTGAATCTAGTTCTGTTTATATTTTCTTACCTAGAGAGTAGGTCATTTTTCCTTGGATTTTTTATATGTTTCAGAATATTTTATGGAATACTGGATATCTAGTGTAGGACAGTAGAGAATAATGGAAATACTATTTGTCACTGGAAATGGATACACTTCTTCTAAGTCATTTGTATGAGGGCTTATGCCCACTTAGGAGTTAAGCTAGGTTGAGGCTCATTGTTGCTATGGTTAGTTACACTTTGCCATTGGCTTCAAAAATTTTAAGTATGTTTTATTGATTATGCTATTACAGTTTTCACAATTTTTCCTCCTTTATTCCCCCTCCGCCCTGCACCCCCCAACCTTCCAACATTCCCCCACTTAGTTCATGTCCATGGGTTGTGCATATAAGTTCTTTGAATTCTCCATTTCCTATACCATATTTGACCTCTCCTGGTCTATTTCATGCCTACCAATTATGCTGCTGCTTTTGTACCTTTTCCCCCTTATTCCTCCCTTCCTCGTTCCCACTGAAAACCCTCCATGTGATGTCCATTTCTTTTATTCTGTTCCTGTTCTAGTTGCTTGCTTAGTTTTTATTTCTCTTTTTCTTTTTTTGGATTTGTTTGTTATTAGTTATGAATTTGTTGTCATTTTACCATTTATAGTCTTTAATCTTCTTCAATTTCTTAGATAAGTCCATTTAACATTTCATATAATAAGGGCTTAGTGATGATGAACTCCTTTAACTTTACCTTATCTAAGAAGCACTTCACCTGCCCTTCCATTCTACATGATAGCTTTGCTGGATAGAGCAATCTTGGATGTTGGTCCTTGCCTTGCGTGACTTTGAATACTTCTTTCCAGCCCCTTATTGCCTGCAGGGTTTCTTTTGAGAAGGTTTCTTTTGAGCTGCTAGTCTTATGGGCACTCCTTTGCTCCTTTGTAGGTAACTCTCTCCTTTCCTCTTGCCACTTTTAAGATTCTTTTTATCTTTAATCTTGGGTAACTTAATGATGATGTACCTTGGTGTGTTCCTCTTTGGGTCCAAGTTCTTTGGAACTCTCTGGGCTTCCTGGACTTCCTGGAAGTCTATTTCTTTTGCCAGATTGTGGAAGTTTTCCTTCACTATTTGTTCAAATAAGTTTTCAGTTTTTTTGCTGTTGTTCTTGTCTATCTGGCACCCCTATTATTCAGATATTGTAATGTTTAAAGTTTTCTCAGAGATTCCACAGCCTCTCTTCATTTTTTTGAATTCTTGTTTCTTTATTCTGTTCTGGTTGGATATGTATTTCTTCCTTTTGTTACAAATCATTGATTTGAGGCCTGGTTTTCTTTCTGTCACTGTTGGTTCCCTGAATACACTTTATTTCTCTTTGGGTATCTTTCATTTGTTCTTTCATTTTTTGACCAAGTTCAGTCAGTTCTGTGAGCATTTTGATTACCAGGGCTTTAATCTCTCTGTGAAATAGGTTGGCTATCGCCTCATTACTTAGCTCTCTTTCTGGAGTTTTGCTGTGTTCTTTCATTTGTCTCCGTGCACCTGTTAAGCTGTAAGGGGGTGGGGCTTAGGTATTCACCCAAGCTGGGCAGCCCTAGATGCCTGTGGGGGAGGGGCCAGAGTGGGAACAATGCAGCTCCCCTGCTTGGCTCTAGCCCCACTTTCCATGAACTCTTGCGTGAGACTGGGAGTTTCTCCCACTGCGGCAACCCCCACCATAGTCCACAGTCAACTCTGAGTCTCCGTTTACAGTTCAGCCAGCTCCACCCCAGCGGTTTGCTGCCTTGCCGGGGGTTCTCTCTGTTCTTACCAGTCTGGTTGATCTGGTTGTCAGAGTTACATGCAGTTTCTGGCACTTCTAGTTATTTATTGATTTTAGATACCCTCCTTTTGGTTGTGTGAGGAAGTAAAGGGTTTCTACCTACATCTCCATCTTGGCTGGAACTTGGCTTCAAATTTTTTTAGTGTTATTTTATTTGTGAGGGAGAAGGCTAGGGTGATTGAGGCTATTTCAACAGTGTTCTGCTGTGCTGTGAACTTTTGTTCTTCCCTGGGTACTGCTACCACATTGAGAGGTGGCTGGCTTCTCTCAATGCTTTTGTCCCTACTCTGGAAGTAGATTGCTGATGTTTGTGATCTACTACTTGGTATCTAATCTTGGTGTTGAGGAAGTAGGAATATTTCTATTCTCCTGGTTTATAGCCTTACTCTTGGGCAGGCCCTGTATGTTCTGGTCTTGGAGTGGAAATTTTAAAAAGTACCATCTCTTTTTTCTTTCAACTCTGTCTTGAATCTTTGATGTTTTGTGTGAGACAGAATTTTCTACCCTTTCTCCAGGGGTAGGAGCCCTCTAGTAATGCTGATAATACAGTCTTAGGCCCATGACTATTTCCTGTCTGTCACCTAAGTGAGAAGGACTTTTTCTTTTGCTCCTCCTCCTCTTGCAGTTGTTTCACATGGTTATAAATTTTGTTATTCTTCCCTAGTGACTTAGACCTCTTTTTCTGTAGGGAAATGGCTATTGGTGGTGCTTCATGCCTTTTCGATAACAGAAGCCACTCCCTTTCTCCATTCCAGCATCAAAAAGAAAGGCATTTTCTAGTCTGCCCTGCCCAGTCTTTTTTCCAACTCCCTGATGGAGGCCTGGAGAGGAGTCTGCCAGTGGGTGTGAATTTCCTTTTGTATCTATGACTCTCGGGTGTTCTACACTCTCATGTTTCCTGTACACTTGACCTTTAACAAATTTTTTTTTAAATTAAGCTTAATTAGTTCTACTTACTGATGCAACATCCAGCATTTCTTCTGTGCTCTGCCATAGAGGAGTTGGTGCTTTCTCCCCATCTTCTTTTTGATGGGACCTAACTTTTCTTGAATAATAGATTATTGAGTGTCTAAAAATCTGTTTTCTGATAGATTTTTAAAAGTTATGATTTTGGTTGTGGGGATATTTCTTGTTAAGGCAGAAGCAAAGCTCTTTCCAGCTTTCTACATCTTCCATGGAAATGAAACTTACACATCTTTGAAAAATTATAGTCCCTGGTAGAAAATATTGGGTTGGCCAACATGTCTGTCTGTTTTTTCTGTAAAATAAAAAACACATTTTTCATTTTCACCAATATCTTTATTGATTTGGATATTTTGAATATGTCAGCTCTTTCCCAGTAATGGCTTCTAGTGAGTGGGTAGAGGCCGGGGGCGTGGCTAAACATCTTCCAGTGCAATAATAGACAGCAGCACAGCAAAGAAACTTCACAAACCACTTTCACACATTTGATCAATCACAGCACCTTCTCCATACACTACATAAATTTTTTGTGTGTTTCAGTTGTGTTTTTATTTTTCTTGAAATAATAAAGCATAACACCCTGAAAATGTTGCATGCCTTCTTCCATCTTCAGTATTAAAATGGCTGCACAAAAATTCACCAATTTTGATAAGTTTTTTAAAAATGCACACTGATATGACAGGTGTTACAATACAATCTAACAAAAATGTTTCGAATGAGATTAAAGACAACTGAGCACTACTAGAGCCATTGTATGGAAAAAACTAAACTTTTTGGCCAACTGAATATAACTTCTGTGCTAATTCAGTGGTTCTCGAATTATTTCTGTTGGTGCAACATTAAGTAGTTATAATGCTAGTTGTGGAACTATTGCTTGTTTTAAGGTAAAGTAATTAACTATATGTTTGTGACAAGTTAGATATATTACCATATTATTAAGAAATTGATGTAATTTAATGACAGTCTTTGTATTTTAATAGTCATACTAAATATTTTTCATATAATTCTCAGCATAATTTCAAAAAGTAGGTTTTAGTATTCCCTGTTTATGGATGAAAGAAGAGAAACTGAGGCCTAAAGGGATGAAGTTGATTGCATCACAGAGAATTGGCAGGTAGTACAGATAAGATCTGAGCCCATATCTGTCTGATTTCAAAATGCAGTCTTTGTACTCTACTACAAGACATAGTTAATTTCTTACTACCAGGATTAGCAAGGGAGGAGGAAAATTAATGGTAAACATCTAGATTTCTATTACTAAATCCATTTTGATTTCTGATTAATGTGAGCCAATTTTTTAAAAATAGGCAATGATATGGGAAGTGATGATACCATCGGAGGGAATGTGAGCAAATGTATGGTGCTTCCAGCTGGATACTGCGGACAGCCCAAGAAAGGACATCTTACCTTTGATGCTTGCTTTGAAAGTGGTGAGTATTAAAGCCCTTTGCTTTTGAGCTTGTCTCGTGAGGGTTTTTTAGACTCCAGTTCCACCTAACCAGTCAATGAGATTCAACCCATTTAATATTTCATCAGAATGAAATAACTTGTCAGAGAAAAATCAATGTTGATGGAATTAACTTGGAAATACATAAAAATGAAATGCAATGTTTTGTTGCTATAAATTATTAGAAGTACAATGATAATACTGGTGAACATTCATATAGTAACTTATATTTTATAAAAATACTTACCTACACATAATTTCTTTTGGGATAAGACTGGTATAATTTGATATGATAAATCAATTATTGAATGTCTGTTATTATCTGGTTCTGTATGACATTCTTACAGAACTTAATTGTGAGTCAGGAGGCTTCCCTGTAAAGAAATGATGAGAGAACAGATTCAAATGAACACAAACAAAGTATCAAAAGTAATATTGTATCACAATCAACAAATGTAGTGGGTATTCTAAAAGGGGAGATCAGGACTTGATTGTGAATTCCAATCCAGCAGTACTGAATCTTGTTAAATTCTTTACTTCCTGAGCCTCATGTTCTGCTATGAAAGGTGAATGGTAGATATTTTAAATATGTTGAAAATATTAGTGAGAAAGGTAACAAAATTCACATGTGTATGTATTTGTGTGTTGAAGGGATATGCCAGTTCTCTGAACCTTAAAAACACAGGTGTTTATACCAACAATTGAAAAGTTGTTTATGCAGAGTTTTGCTCTTTATTTTATGTTGTTTTAGTTTGCTAGGTATCCCTTAACAGAGAGCCACAAACTGAGTGGCTTAAACAACAGAAATGTATTGTATCAGTTCTGGAGGCTAGAAGTCTGAGATCAAGGTGTTGGCAGAGTTGGTTCATTCTAAGGGTTTTGAGGAAGAATCTGTTTGAAGCCTCTTCTCTAGATTGGTTTGCCAGCAATCTTTGTTGTTCCTTAGTTTGTAGAATATCACCTTGATCTCTGCCTTTACTTTCACTTGGTGTTCTTTCTGTGCATGTCTGTCTCAACATACTCCCTCTTCACAGTCTGAGGTACTGGGGAGTTAGGACTTCAACACGCGAGTTTTGGGGGGACATAATTTATCTCATAACATTGTACTGTAGTGTCCATCCAGTCAGATGTGAGCACTTCCCACGTCGTCGGGAACAGTGTTTCTGCTGTGAATGTGGTACTGTTGTGTTTTCCAGGATTTCCTTAGTGCCTAGAAAATAACCATTTTGATTTTTTTTTAACATCAGGTTAAGGCATGCAGGTTCTTTACATTAATAACTCTGTGAGAGTAGGAATTATCCTTATTTTAAAGATTAATAAGACTCAGCGAATGGGGAGTATTGGTTTGTTTGGATAAAGTATATTGCCTTCACATAAACATCCATAATTTTTTTCCTTTCACAATTGTAGAATATGTAAACTGCCTAGCACATTGCCTGGCCCCGAGCTGGTAGATAAATAATGTTTTTCTTGTGAGAAATAAGGTCTGCAGGTCAAATATGAATTCTCCTATGAATCCCTGATCAGATTTTTTCTACAGACACCTTCTATACGTACATTCCCCTGGGAAAACAGCCACACCACTCTCATTTCATTTCTCTAGACACATTCGGCACTTTTTCTGATTTTTTTTTAAAAAAAACTTCTTTTGTTCCCTTGTATTAGTAACCTGCTTCAGGGCAGAATCTGAGTCTGATTAATCCCTGTTACCCCACAGAACCAAGCAGAGTGCTTACAAAATTCAGCACTAAATTAATACTGTATTTATTTGTTGAGTGAAGTAATTTGAGCAACAGAAAGACGGGGAAAGATTAACTTTCAGATAGCTTTGATGAAAATGTCATATTTAATTGCTTCTTATTCCCTGATCCACCAGATTCTAGGAAGTTTTCATACCTTTATGGATGCTGTTCTTTCTGTGCCCCAGGTCCTTTTCTCTACCTTGTAAAACATATTCGGACTCAGTCCAACATTTCTTCCTCTAAGAAACGGTACGCCTCAGGCAGGTTTAGCTGTCTTTATCTCCGTATGTACAGGCACTTCTTAAGTTCTTCTATGAGAGTCCTTATGCATTGCAGTCAGTTAATTGTCTTTCTTTTTCTTTATCACTAAAAGTTCCTTGAAGTCAAGGATGGTTTCTTATTAATTTTTTTCAGCACCTTGTTTACTGTCAGCTGTGTATAATAATGAGCTCAATAAATATATTAATAAAGAGGGAGGACAGATAGTGAACAGAATAATCTTCATAAAGTGAGACTTTAAGATTGCTAAAATATTTTTACATTTAAATAAAAATTTAACATTAAAAGCAATAGAAATATTAAGGAGAAAAATAAATAACAATTATCACTTACTTATTGCTTGCCAGACATTTTCATAAGTGATATACATAGTCTATCTCATTTAATACTCATAAAACCTTCTGAGGTATTATTATATCCCTCTTTGTAGGTGAGGAGGAAACTGATGCTCAGAGATGTAAAGCTATTTACTTTGAAGTGTATGACTGACAAATGGTGTACCTGAATATGAAACAGAATTTCCTGGCTCCAAAGGCTATATGTATAACCACTGAACATATATCTATCTATCTATCTATCTATCTATCTATCTATCACACATAATAAATATAGTATAATCTTATCATAGGTCAGTTTATGACATACGAATAATATGTTGCTGAAAATTACTCTTTAGGTGATAAGACAAATAGAAAAAGGTTTTGTAATGAAGAAAAATGAAAAAAATTTCTACTTGTTAAACCATTCAAATAAATACTATGTTTTATTACCATATATGCATTTTGAGTATTGTTCTCAAATATTCAAATGAACCCCTGGTCAGATTTTTTCTGCAGACGCCTATCTATAAGTATATTTCCCTGGGAAAACAGCCACACCACTCTCATTTCATTTCTCTAGACACATTGATATGATTGATCTGAGTATATATGTATTGAATATGAAAAGAGCACTATAATTTATACTTCTAATTAATTGGTTAGCCTGAGAGATTTAATATATTGTTTAAATTACTAGAGCAAGGACACTTCTGACCAAACTCAAGATGTAGGTAGATACACTGTGCCTCCTTGCACTACCAAAAGAAGGACAACACAATTTTAAAACAAAAAACAACCAGAACTGACAAAATCGAACTGTATGGAAGTCCAACAACCAAGGAGTTAAAGAAGACACATTCATCCAGATCAGTAGGAGGGGCAGAGTTGGGCAGCTGGGCAGAGAGGACTTGCAGCAAAGCAGTGGCTGGCAGGCCCAGGCGTGTAAGGTGGCTGCTGGTGGACCCAGCAAGACTGTGGATTGTGGAATGTGGAATGGGGCATGGGGCACAGTGCACGGTGCACGAGGCAGCTGGTGGACTGGGCGGTCCCACATTTGTGCAGGGATAAACCAGGGGAAACTGGGTAGCAGGACAGACCGCACGACTCCGGGGCCTAGCGTGGAGAATAAAGCCTCAAAACACCAATTGAATACATCTGTGGGGGGTTGAGGCAGTGGGAGAAACTTCCAGCCTCGCAGGAGAGTTTGTTGGAGAAACCTACAGGGTCCCAGAATGTACACAAACCCACCCATCTTGGAATTAGTGCCGGTAGGGCCCAATTTGCTTGTGGGAAGCAGGGAAAGTGACTGAAATCTGGCAAAGAGCAGAGCAAGCACCATTGTTCCCTCTCACACCCCTTCCCCACATACAGCATCAGAAACCAGCTACATGGGTTACCCCGCCCTGGTGAATACCTCAGGCTCCACCCCTCACTATGTAACAGGTGTGTCAAGACCAAAAAAAAAAATGGCTCAAACGAAAGAACAGATCGAAGCTCCAGAAAAAAATACAACTGAGTGACAGGTAGCCAGCCTATCAGATGCACAGTTCAAAACACTGGTGATCAGGATGCTTACAGAATTGGTTGAATTTGGTTGCAAATTAGATGAACAAATGAAGGCTATGCTAAGTGAAATAAAGGAAAATGTACAGGGAACCAATAATGGTGGGAAGAAAACTGGGACTCAAATCAACAGTGTGCACCAGAAGGAAGAAAGAAACATCCAATCAGAAAAGAATGTAGAAACAAGAATTCAAAAAAATGAAGAGAAGCTTAGGAACCTCCAGGACATCTTTAAATGTTTGAACATCCAAATTATAGGGGTACCAGAGGGAGAAGAGGAAGAGCAACAAGTGGAAAACCTATTTGAACAAATAATGAAGGATCAGGTGCAGAGAATAAGTAGCATAGATGGTAGGTAGAAAATACACAGGGGGAGAGTAAGAATAGTATGGAAAATGTAGAAGCCAAAGAACTTATATGTATGACACATGGACATGAACTAAAGAGGGGGGGAAGGTGGGTGGGAGGGGGTGTGTAGGGTGGAGGAGAGTGAAGGAGGAAAATGGGACAACTGTAATAGCATAATCAATAAAATATATTAAAATTACTGTAGCAAGGAAAAGGTTCAGTGAGATTATGATATGGATCACTTATTTGCATACTATTCAAAACAGTGAAAATAAAAAATTAAAACATTTAATTTATCCCTCCAGTGGAATTTACTACATTTACTTATGTAGTCTTAGAAACTTAATATTTCCTTTCAATAAAAATGGTCTTCATTCATGGCACATGTATCATGACTACATTAGAAATTAGGATTTTTAGTTCAATGTCTCACCTAAACTTTTCTTTTTTTAGATGTCTAAATGGATGATATACATTTTTTAACTTTATGAGGAATAACTGACAAATGTATTTCCATATATTTAAAGTATACAATGTGATGATTGGATATATGTATATATTGTAGAATAATTGCTAAGATCAAGATAACTAACACATCCTTTACCTCACATAGTTAGTGTAGTTAATTTTTGTGTGAGTGGTGAGTGCTTAAGATGTACTCAGCAACTTTCAAATATACAATACGATGCCATTAACTGTAGACAATATGCTGTGCATAAGTCCTCACTTAA